CCTGTCTCTACCTGTCCTTTTGCCTGTCTCTACCTGTCCTTTTGCCTCTCTCTACCTGTCCTTTTACCTGTCTTTACCTGTCCTTTTGCCTTTCTCTACCTGTCCTTTTACCTGTCTTTACCTGTCCTTTTCCTTGTCTCTACCTCTCCTTTTACTTGTCTCTACCTGTCCTTTTACCTGTCGTTACCTGTCCTTTTTCCTGTCTCTACCGGTCCTTTTACCTGTCTTCCTACCTGTCCTTTTACCTGTCGTTATCTGTCCTTTTACCTGTCTCTTTCTGTCTCTTTCAGAGGACCAGTCTTCCTCAGAGTTCATCAAGCAGGTCGGACCAATTGGCCTTCCACATGACGTCAACGTCCAATCACTGTTCGATGCCACAGGTAGCCCCTCCTCCTCCTGCTGTGTGTGTCTGTGTGTGTGTGTTAACCCCACCTGACCCATTTCCAAACTTCCCTTTCTTTCTAAGATCCTGGAGAAAATAGTTTTCACTCAATTAAACGAGTTCTTGAGTGGAAATTCTATTCTTGAGATCTTTCAGTCTGGCTTTAAGAAACTACACAGCACTGAAACAGCCGTAGTTAGGGTCTGCAACAACATTCTTCTGGCAAATGACTCTGGTCAGTCTGTAGTCCTGGTACTCGTTGATCTTACTGCTGCATTTGATACTGTGGACCACAGTATCCATTTATCCTGGCTAGAACACTGGGTTGGGATTACTGGTGCAGCATTAGATTGGTTCCATTCATACCTGAGCGACAGGAGTTTCTATGTTAATTTTGCTAACACTCTATCTACTTCAGTGTCTCTTTCCTGCGGGGTCCCGCAAAGCTCCATTCTTGGACCCCTTCTGTTTTCTTTGTATCTCCTTCATTAAGGGTCTTTCCTGAGGAAACATGGTCTTTCCTTTCATTGTTATGCTGATGACTCTCAGATTTATCTGCCGTTAACACCCAACAGTTCCTCCTCCATTCGCCCTTTGTTAAAATGTCTTGATGACATCAAGGCTTGGATGGCTGCAAACTTTTTGAGTTTTAATGATCAGAAGACTGAGGTCATTGTGTTTAACCCTAGCTCTGCCACTGTCACTGATCCTGCAAACCTGGACTCCCTTCAGCCATATCTAAAACAGTCTGTTAACAATCTCGGGATAGTTTTAGACTCGGACTTTAAGTTTAATAAGCAGATAAATTCTGTTCTTCAAAAAAGCTTCTTTCAGCTAAGGCAGATAGCTAAGCTCAAGTCTGTCCTGTCCAGATCCGACCTTGAAAAATTAGTCCATGCATTTATTACAACCCGGCTGGACTACTGTAACTCGCTTCATGCTGGGGTCAGTCAGTCTCTCACGTCTCCAGCTTGTCCAAAATGCTGCAGCTCGGCTACTAACAGGAACTCGCAGGTTTGAGCACATTACTCCAGTGCTGTCCTCTCTTCACTGGCTTCCTGTGCGTGTCAGAGTTGATTTTAAGATTCGTCTGCTGACATTTAAGTGTGTTAATGACCTTTCACCCTCATACCTCTCCGACCTCCTTCATCCTTATACTCCTTCTCGGGCCTTGAGATCATCAGACCAGTTGCTTTTGGCTGTACCAAAAACCAGCTGAAGCTCAGAGGAGATTGGGCGTTTTCAGTCATGGGCCCTAAACTCTGGAATAATCTGCCCATCAACATTCGACAGGACATCTCGGTCTCTATTTTTAAATCTCTCCTCAAAACACATCTGTACTCACTGGCATTTAAAACAGTGTGATCTCTTTTTTTTTTGTGTATTTTGTATTTTGTTGTTGATGATTGTGTTCATCCATTTTGCTGATTTAGTATTTCATTGTTTCTCATTATATTTAATGTTTTTATGCTTTTATTCATGTTGCTGTAATATCTTGTTATTAATATTTGGTGCTGTGATGTTTTTTGGTAAGCACTTTGATAACAGTTACTGTTTTAAATGTGCTATATAAATAAGTGTGACTTGACTTGACTTGACCTGTGTGCATAGGTCAGTGCTGCGCTCACCTGCACTGTGCCTCGTGGTCAGAGGGCGTTCATCGGGGCGAGGGGCAGTCTTTGCTCTACGTGGACAGAGCCATCGATTCAGGAAGCACTCAGGTGAGTTTCTGGAGGTCACAGAGTCGGTGTCAGAACATTAACCCTGTACTGATCGAGCCTCAGGCCTGACTCAGTATTTTACATGTATACATTAGTTCACCTGTTTGGCATCCTCTCTCTCACCTGTGTAGGTGTGTGCATTCTGCCAACGGCTTGGTGCATCACTGCGTTGCCAGGAGACAAGCTGTGGGCAGAGCTACCACTTCCCTTGCGCTGCTGCAGCCGGCGCTCAGCAGGACTGGAGCCAGAGACTCACGCTGTGCACGAGACACGCCCACACAGGTACAGGTGTGTGCAACCATACCCTGCTGTGATGTTGTCGAGAGCAGCACGCAGACTCGTTTTTGTTTCTTGTCTGCAGACTCGTTGCGGTGCGTGGCATGTTCGGACGGCGCCGGTCCTGGCAGCCTGCTGATGTGCTGTTGCTGTGGTAACTGTTACCACGGCAGCTGCCTAGTCCCCCCTCTAAGCCCCTCCCCCCTGCTTCGGGCTGGGTGGCAATGTCCTGAGTGTCAAGTGTGTCGCAGCTGCAGGTAACACACTCAGGGGTCAGGTCCCTCCTTACTTCCTGTTCATCTATCTAAACAAATATGAAAATGAATTCTGATGGTAAAGCTAAGCTCAGGCTCGCGTTTCGCGTCTCCAGGCAAATTCAGATAAACACACAATTGTTTTGGGGACACGCAGAACTTTAATGACATCTACCTTGAGTCTGTGTCAGTCCGCTTGGTTCCGAAATGTCCAAATTACATGGCCACACCAGTGGCACTTGCCTGAGTATAATCCCCAAGATCTGATCCATTCTTCCATTTGAGTCTTTGTACAAACCAAGCCATCATAAAGGCAAGCAGCATCATCGGGTCCAAATTTGCTGCCGACAACTTCCTTGATTGTAGATAAACCAGGAACCAGCCGAATCCAAAAAGCAGGAACCAGTTATCATAAGTCCAATTATGTATGTGTCCTTAAAATCCACAAATGGCAGCAGAAATAGACACATCATCAAGTCTTCAAGTCGATGAAATATCCAGCTGCGTGCGTGCCAACAGGGCAAATCGGCTCGCCTAAAGCCTGTCTTCTCTTTGAAGAAATGTTATCAGTTGTGTTGAGGGACCAACTGATCAAATCAAGTCCATAATTATTGTTCGAAAGATTTGTAGAAATGAGGCTCTAAAGCAGTTTCACAGACAAGGCAGAGCAGCAAAGCAAAGCAGAGAGAGAGAGGAGGGGAAAAGCGTCTGACCTCGGCAAAAGCAAGTGGTGAAAGTCCTTTCAAAATAAAATGCTCTAGCAAGAATGGACTCTAGCTTAACAAAGTCTGTGCATCTACATTGGTCAGTTTATTTTTTGTAATTTTAGCTGTAATTCTTACATTTGAGAGTCCCTGCCATTCCTGCAGGCATCAGGGACTCTGCAGCCTGGTCTCAGATTCTGTTGGACCTGGAACTGGTTCCGTTTCTGTTTCAGGGTACGAGAAGATGACACTGAGCTGCTGGTGTGTGAGCGCTGTGATAAAGCTTACCACACACACTGTCTCACACCACCTGTGGACCATGGGCCGAGCTCCAGCTGGACTTGCAGGGTGAGACACGCACCACTGCACAAACAACACGTGTGGTCTGGTTCTGAACTCATGGACCCCCTCCCCCGCTTCTCCAGAACTGCAGAGTCTGTCGCCGCTGTGGTGTGATGTCATCAGGCCAGTGGGCTAATCACCTGTTTCTTTGTGAGTCATGTGACCCAGCCCCTCCCTGCCTTCTCTGTGGCCACACCCCTGACTTTTCTACACCGCAGGAGGTTCTGACCTGTACCTGCTGCCACAGGTAAACAGGGTCCATCTAGACCCGGTTAGATGCTCAGTCAGTCTTTGTTGTTGAACAGACACTTCTGGTTTAGAAATCATAAACATTCTTTTTGCACGTGAAGACAATAAAAACCTGAACTCGTTTTCTGCTGTAGGTTGGTCCATGCAGAGTGCTTGGTCCAGTCTGGTGAGGGCAGGACAGGATCTGAAGGCTACACCTGCTCCTCCTGTAGGCCTCAGGGGACAGAGCAGACCCTGTCCATCAGTCACACCTCAGCACCACCCACTAACATTTCACTGTCACAAGTTCCCCCTCACACTGAGACTCCACCCATCAGTGCTCCTGCTCACAGTCCGGTCCAGCTCATCAGTTCAGAACCGAGTCAGACTGAAACTTCAGAGCTCCAACACAGTCCTAAACCCTCTCCTGAAAAACATCAAAGAAGTCCTCAAGCTGAAGAGAAGCAGGACAGCCCATCTATTGAAGACCTCCCAATCAGGCTTCGAAAACCTACCACTGTTCTGAAAGTCCCTTCTGCACGGTCGCTGAAAGGCTTGGAAGGTCCTGCGCCATCTTCTCTAGAGCTTCAAAGAAGTCTATCATCTTCAAAAGAAAATAATCAGTGCTGCTCACCATCTCCAGATGATACTCGTACAAATCCTTCACTGGTTCCTACAAAACACAAACATTCTCCTGTATGGACATCTGAAACCATTTGTCAAAGTCCCGCCCCTTCAACAGAGGAGCAGCGGCAAAGTCCCGCCCCTTCAACAGAGAAGCAGCAGCAAAGTCCCACCCCTTCAACAGAGGAGCAGCGTCAAAGTCCCGCCCCTTCAA